TGTGTGTGTGTGTGTGTGTTTGGCTGGAGGTTTATATGTGCCTCGAGTGGTGTCCTTAATTGGAACCTCATCAACTCGCCAGTTTTCTTTTTTCCCCGCTATTTTTGAATATAATTCAGCTAGTAATTAATTATTATTAATGGGCACTAACAGGGTCCAACAATCTACCATGAAAATATTTTAATATTTTTACAATGTTTTTCTGTTATATATCGATTGGCTGTCTAATCAATTAATCACTTATTGATTATTCATATTTTCATCAATAACCAGGCTTTCATCATCTGTCATAACGCTTTCCAGGTCTTTTGGCATCTATTTTTTTTCCCCAATAAACATTTTGCTCGAATAACCACTTCGTTCAACTTTTTTGCTCAAACGAGGCGGAAGTAAGACTTTGTGATTTATTCACAATCATTAGAAATAAGTAGTAGTGGGATAATTAGCGGTTCGAATACTTATTTTCCAATATGTGGAAGGCCAATCCAGGCCATATGGAATTATTTGAAATTTGTTGTTAAAAAATTACGGATAGCAGTCAAGCATTTTCTGTGTTAATGCAATGCCGGAATGAGAAGTTTGTCGTTTGGAACAGATTTCATTACATATAATTCATGATAATTGTGGATGAAATATACCGTCCAATGGAATCAGTACCGTTATGCTAAAAATCGGGAATTAAACTTTTTCAACTGTTAATTATGATAATTATACGAGAATAAAAGTGATTCAGGTCCAAATTATGATAACACATATTGTTTTTTGTCGACTTCCATTAATTCATTGTGCATCATATTGCATGGTTTTTTTATGCCGTTACTCACAAATAAGACTTTATTGCTGTTTTTGATTTAAAGTTTCTAAATGCCTTAATTTTAATGTGTACTTACCTGATCTCATTAATTGGGTTTATAAAAATGTGTAAATTTGCGACTAATTTTATATTTTTGTTTCGTCATTATTCTGCTAACAAATCAGAAGTAAGGGAGAGGAATGTTGCTAGAAATAAGTATAGAAAAACAGCTAAAAAGGGCACTTATCGAGCATTTAGCTAGAAAGTAAAAAATATTGCGAAAAATTTTGATTAAGCGGTGCATTGTTTCCAGTTAAAATTAACTGACTCTAAGTAGAGTGAGATTGGAGATAAAAAAAATCTTGAATAGTTGATAGTTTTTGCACTGAATTCTAATCCTAATATTCATGATTAATTTTAACTCCTAATATTCATGATTAATTAATATTCCAATATTCATGTTTAATTTTAAATTAATTTTAACTGATTCAATTTAATTTATTACAGAATGAATCACCGCTTGGATTAAATAGTTTGATAAGGAAAGTATCACGAAATACTGATTTGATAATGCTTAATTTACCGCGACCACGTGGTGATATGCCGGTATCGAGGCTATTACAAACTTAGATTCCGTTACGGAACAATTGACACGTGTGGTCATTTTTAGACCGCCTATCAATTTTTGAAAAATCTTAGCTTATAATTTACAATTCTGATTTTTTTTTTGAGATCTTTGTATTTTAAATAAAATGATTTCATTCAAATTGATATTTTCCATGTAATACATTTCAGTTGAAATCTTCATATTATTCTCAAGTTAGCACATAATCGGTTTACTCATTTACTAGCAAAAAAAATTTCCAGAAGTTTGGCACCACCTAATTGATTAACTTTTACGAATGAATAATGCATGTAGAATAAAAGCTGTTCAATAAAACAAAATAACCATGAGAATCATATGATTCGTAAAGGGATAATAAACGGATGATATTTTAATTAGCGATATTTAAATGCTATCAGCGATGAAATAAATGAATATTATTCAAGACAGTCAGAGATGAAATGCTCGCCTGTTTTTTTTTTCTTGAAATTTGCTATTCAAAATTATGATATCCGAAGCCAATTACTGTACTGCAATATTATGTAAATCGTTAGTGATTAAAATATAATACACGCAGTTTTCGTTAATGGAATTAATTGCAACGAAATCTGATATTCGGTACTTTGCCTTTAGCCAAAAGGTATTATTGAAAAGTGCTTTTGAAGGAAGAAAGGGTGCAGAAAGTCGAGATTGAATTGGCTTACAGAATGTTAACTTGTAATATTGTGCAGAGGAGAGATTGATTAAGCTGTATGATTTCTCTGCAGTGTAATCATTATTGGAATGTGATAGAACAGTGTTTTTCTTTTATCAGCGCAAATTTCGAATCATTATAAATTTCTAAATTCTTGTCGCTTTTTGAAAGGAAAATGGTTTGTTGATTGCTTTTAAAACAATTGTACTTAAAAATCACAAAAGTATAAATCAGAAAAATGCGATATAAGTAAGTTAAACTGTTCCGCACAGATGTGAATACCATGTAGTTGTGTGATATGAACATATGATGTGAAATTGATTTTATACGGCAATATTGATGATTATTTTTTTATTAGGATGGAAGTATGATTTTTTAATTGAAATAACAATTGTTATATATATGGAAACGAAAATAAATAACTGCCACAAATATATGTTTCAAAACAATCCAGAAAGCAAAATTACATTCTGATTATAAAAATAGAATCGATTTATAGCAAGATTTATTTCACTATCCGAAAATGCACTCGTCTATTGGAAGGAATTTAAGCAGCATAAAATCTGTCAGACGATAAAAGGAATCATCAAATGCAATTACAAATAATAATTTATAATTTCATAAATGATATTACTTTACACTGAAAAAGTAAAAGATAGTGATCAAAGAAAATGATATTACTTTGTTATATAC